GTGCGGACCTCCTCGGGGTGCTCGCCCTTCTGGGGTCCCTGCTGAGCCCTCTGTCCCTCACGTCCCACCTTCCTTCCCGCAGCCGACGCGCACCCCGGGCCCCCGCCCCTTCGAGTCGCCCACCCTCTCACGCTGGGCTGTGCGTCCCCCCTCCGTCCCGCAGGCCCCGCCTCGGCCGGAAGGCTCCGGGCCTGGGCGGGCTCTGGTCGCAGCCGGAGACGGTGCCTGTGCGGGCAGAGGGCCCCGTGCACGCGTCTGAGCTGCCACCGTCACCTGGGGGGGGGGGGGCGGCTCGGGGTCCACCCGGAACGTGCCTCGTGCCCCCGACCCGCTGCTCTGTGTTGCCTCGTCCGTCTCGGCTGACGCGGTGAGAGGACGGTGAAGGCGGATTGACGGAGGACAGAAAGTCCTGTCCCTGTGACCTTGGCTTCTGGGTTGTGTCTGCAGTTGTCCGTCTAGAAAACGGACCTCGTAGTTCCTGACGGGGACATGAATGTTTGTCTTTTCTGGCCTGCAGAGATTAGGATGGTTTGCAGACTGGTTTAGTGGAAACGTTACTTTCAAAGTAAGCTGAAAAATGAAAGCACAAGTAAGACAAGTTTAGAATTTTGCTGAACTTCTTGCAAAGCCTGAGCCTTTCAAATCTGACCTTAAAAAACAACAAGCGTTATTACCTAACAAGAAGACGTCTGTTTGCATGGGACACCCCCGCCCGCCCCCTGAGAGTTCCCCGTTTCCCTCGTGTCTCCTCCAGGTGAGTGCACACCGGGCGGCAGCCGTGCCGGCGCACAGGCGTGTGCGGACGGTGTCAGGCAGGGCCCTGGCTGCTCGGAACCCCCCCCCCACCCCCCGCAGTCAGTCCTCTGAGGTGTGACGTGTCTGTTCTGTGTGCACAACAGAACCCTCACCTTCTGCTCGCTCCTCCACTCTTAGGCTGTCAGACCCTGGGCCAGGCTGAGACCGACAGTGTCTGATGCGCAGGCGTGTCCTTCGCAGTTCAGGGCCTCCGGTGTCTGCGTTCTCCTCTCCGCTCCGACGCTGCGTCAAGCTCCAGTGGGGCTGGAGCACTTTCCTGACGTCCCTCTCTCTGCAAAAATTAAGCCCTTTGTGGTTTTCCCCTTTCTTGCAAGTGGTTGCAAAATCTTTTATAATAATAAACATATCTTGTGAACTGTTATAAAAACATAATACCCAGTATAAATCATTTCCCCATTATTAGTACTTAAATCCCTCTTTTCCTTTTAAAAAGACAACTGGATTGAGAGCATGTATTTTGGGTTTTGCTCTTAAGAAATGGTTTTAAAAACCCATTTTGAAGTTAACTACAGTTTAAACTCTTTCTGTGATTCATGAGAGCTTCTGGCTCCCGTTCGACTGAAAACTCGCAGTTGGTAAGCGATCTGGCATGAGAACTGAGTGGAAGACCTTTCGTGAGTAAAAGAGGCTTAATTTCAGAGTTCCTGAGTTGTGGGGCTCCAGTTTTTGAAAATTGCTGCGTTGTTTATAAGTTTTTGGTTTCTCAAGGCAACGTTTTTTAAAATAGTCTGTGGAGTTTTCATGTTCATACAGGATTCTTACCATCCGATCTCAACCATTAATAGATAATTGTGGTAAGTTTCAGAAGGACTATCTCATTGCTCAGAAATTTGTAAAATAAACAGGGAAAAGTCACCTATAACCCACTAGTTCCATTAAATTAATGCAGTAGTCATGTGGGTTCCATTTATTTAAGGAGATGCATAATGTTTGTACGTCATCACAACATAGATCTTGCATATTTTTGTGGAGGATAAACACTGGTGTTTAGATCCAGTCTCACCAGTGTTGTCATCGTATTGACTGAAGTCTTCGGGTTCAGACAGCGACAGAGAGGCCCCCTTCTCTCTGACTTGCAGGATCCCTAAGGCTCCCCGACGCACGTGTGAGGCTGCGGTCGGAGGCAGGGGTTTGGGGAGAGCGTGGGAAAGAGAGGTCAGGTCTCGGGGGGCCTGGGGCCTCTGCGTGTTTAGGGCAGGGCTTCCCTCTGCTGTGGACTCGGGGCTCCCTGGCGGGACTGTCCACGTACGTGTGGTCGCTTTATTGTTCAGTGCTTCCCCCGCCCCCGCCCCGAAGAAGAGCACTTAACGGCCTCTCCAAAGAAAACAATTCCTGCTTCCGTACTTCGTGGTGAGTAGGAGGGAACCCCGCTTCCTGTCGGCGCTCGGACGTTTCTGAAAGACGCTATTGTGCCCCGACATTGAGGCTTTTTTAAAAAAAAAGGTACTGATCTTTCGAAAGCACAAAGGACTCAGTCAGTCACAGGAAAGGTGCCGGGCCAGCCCTGCCTGACCCACCAGCACCTGCCCGCGCGGGGCTGCCGAGGCTGCCCCAGGAAGCGGGGGCTCCACGCCCCGCGTCAGCGTCGCCCCCACCCAGACGCCGGCGGCAGGTGCTCTGGGTGCAGCGCCTGCCCGTGTGTACGCGTCTCTTCTCTGCTGCTTCGCTGTGATCCGTCTCCGGGCTCCTCGAGGTCACCCCGCAGACTGGGACCAGGGAGGCTTCGCGATCCCGAGAGCTTGCACTTGCGATCCTGTCGTGCAGGTGGTGGGCGCAGTGACCTCTCTTGCAGAGCGGGGTCGGGTGGGAGCAGGGAGCAGAAGTGAGCCCACCACCAGGACCAGGTCCCTTTCACAGCTGGGTCAGGCCCGTCGGCATCTATTTAATCGGACTTTATAGAGTTTGACATCAGTTTCAAGTAATAGTGCTTTCAAGGCGCTAAGCGTTGTGGAGTTGTTGAGTAAATCCTAGTCCCCAGTTTAGATTTTTGGGGTGGAGAGGTGCACTCTTGCCCCTTAGTCTTGCAGGTGAAGAAATTTAGAGCCCGAGGGTGTCGCGGCATGGTTCCTGAGGAGGTGGGGTCTGAGGCGGAGCCTCTCCTGTCCCCCGTAGGCGCCCCCCGCCCTCACCCCACCATCAGCTGCTGAGGTGATGTTGAAAGAGATATTCTAGAAACACGCACACTGGAGGATACCACAAATCAACATGTCCCTACGAAGTTATTTTATGCTGTGAAGTTCGAGAGAAGCTGAAATGTCTCTAAGCCAGAACAGGCTGTAATATTTTCAGTTTCAGAAAACTTAGAGAAATCTGAAACTAATCTCTAAGTTTGTGTGAAATGTAACTTAATTTTGGTCATAAGAGGGACCCCAGTTACACGAAACCCAGGGGTTTCGGCACAGCCAGGCCCTCCCTGTGGAGGGGCTCTGGTCACGTCCCCTGTGCCAGCCTTCTTTTTTGTGGACAGTGTGGGTGGGGCTTGCGTTTCGTCTTCTGTAGAAGTAGCCCCTCGGTGTGAAATTCAACGGAGAGAAAGCAGGAGATACCGTGTTGAGGAGGTCATGTTTGAAGACGAGGTTCAGCGCGGCATCCAGACCTCGGCTGGAAACTCAGGCTTCAGTGTGAGCTTGACCTTCTTCGCCCGTGGCCAGCGGCGTCTGACTGTTTATTTTTGCAGTGGCTGTAATTGGGGGCTTGCAAGTTTGTTGGTTTGTTCTCTCGTTCAATTATGTTTTAATTATAGGATTTGCAAGTTTCGTGGCATGAAGGTCAGCAAATGTTGTGTTTTCTTGGCTGTCATGTGTTGTCTTACCCTCGGAAATTTGTGATCTGGGGTCTAACGACGCATCCAAAAGACACTGCCTCGTGCAAGGCTGGAGCCCTCAGCCAGGCTCCCCCAGTCTCCGCCCCTTAAAAAAACACGTTCTCTGGGAAATGTCGCCCCGGATGAGGCAAAGCGTCCGTTACCGGAAATGTCTGCTCTCCAGGCCTGTTCCCGTACGTTCATCTCTGTGCGTTGTTCACATTCTAGATTTTTCCTTAGCTTTGCTGACATTGCATTTCGTAATCACGTGGGCTTTGACCTAGGCTGCGCTGAATTGCTGTCACTCTCTGCCGTGGCAGGGCCTCCATGTTGGCGAGTCCTGTGCAGCGAGAGTGCAGAGTGATGGTGAGACGGACGAGCAAAGGGACGAGAAGCTGCAGGGTTAACGCACGTCTCCGCGGCGTCTGGGTTGGCCTGGCCCCCACCCTGGAAATGTCGTGCTCCTTTGTGTGTTTTTCTTTTTGTCGTGACAGTACCTGCTTTTGATAGGAAAAAGGAGTTCTCGAAGACAGTAGTTAATAGCCAAGTCATAAGTCACACTCGCCCTTGGAATACCTGTGGGGGCACAGACCCTTTAGGACACCCACACCCGCCTTTGGGAGGCCCCACCCCCCTGGGCTTGCTCGCAGTTCCGGGTTTGCGTGGCGGGAACCAGGAGCCTCGGAGGCCCCGGCTCGCCCGGGGAGCATCGCGGGCCGGCGGCGGCACCCGTGGTGGTGCTCAGCACGCGTTTCTGCTGTTTAAGAGCGAGCTTGTACCCCGTCTTTGGTCACGCGGGCCTGCTGCTACGGCAGCGAGTCCCCTGTGTCGTCTGCCTCACCAGGACACGGAGGCCGAGCGGCATGGCCAGGCCCTGGCCCTGCCCCCGTCTCGCCGTGTGCGGTCATAGTCTGGGGTCACGAGTTCCTTGGGCGAAGGGGGGGGCGTCTGTCTTCCTAAAAAGAAGTTGGAGAACGACTGTTGGGTAGATGGCTGCAGGGCTCTGCCTGTCTGTCTGGACCGGCCCCTCATGTCTGGGCCTGGAGGCAGACCCAGACCCGAAGCTGTTTCGGGGCAGAGCTGCAGTCACAGTCTTGGATCTGGCCGCGTGGGCAGCACTCCCCCTGGTGTCCCGCACCCAGCCCGTCACCAGGACCTGGCGTGTCCCGGCATTCTGTCCGGGAATGACGGACACTCCGCTCCTGTGTGCTGCGTAGTGAGGGAAGCAGCTGTGAGACGGCCTGGCGTCCATTAGCCGCAGGTCAAGGTCAACTGGAAACCCCTTGCTTGTGGTCCCGAGTGTTGGCGTCTGGGACACCCCGACTGCGGCCTACCGCAGAACCGGGCCCGTGTTTAACAGATGGCTCCTTGTCGCCCTCAGGACCACCTGCTGCTGCCCGCGACCACCCACAACAAGACGGCGAGGCCGAAGATGTCGATCGTGCTGCCCGCCATCAACGTCAGCGGTGAGTGGCGGCCCCGGGCGCGGGCGGGGTGGGGGCCGAGGCTCCCCGGGTCGGCCGGGAGACCCTCGCAGTGCTCGGTCGGTCACGTGTGTGTCTAGGCGTCGATGGTGAAACATTTTCCACTATTTTCACAAGATACTATTTTTAAATTTTATACCTTTTTTAAATATGAAAAGATTTAAAGTTACTTTTTAAGTTGATGTATTTTTCAAAGAAAAGTCAATGCTCTTTTTTGGTTACGTTGGAAAAGTTAGCTGACTTCTGCAGACTTGGCGCCTGGGGCCTTCTGGGTCCAGACGCCCAGTGAGAGCCCCGGGGGGCACCGCGGGGCCCGTGTTTGAGGGCGCAGAGCGGTTCCCGGCGTTGTGCAGATGGCGGTGTGATGTCCAGACCAAGCCTCAGAAGCCTCTCTATATTTAATCCCTCACCCCGGAGAACTTGGCATTGACAGTGTTGCGTTGCGTTTTGTGTGTTAGTGCTGGCCGGTAACTAGAGTGCGAGTGAGACTGCGGCACTTTCAGGCCGTCCGGAGATGGCCCTGGCCGGTGGCCGCGTTGGTGGGAGCATAGCCCTGTGCACCGAGAGGTTGCAGGTTCGATCCCTGGTCAGGGCGCATATGGGAGGCAACTGATTGGTGTTGCTCTCTGTCTCTCTCTCCCTTCCTCTCTCCAAAGTCAGTGAACTTATCCTTGGGTAAGGACTTAGAAAAAAAATAAAAAACTATCTGAAGATGTTAAGGCAGAGTGCACTTGCTTAACATGCTCGAGAAGGAAAAATAAGACAAACAGAAACCTCTGCTCCAGAAAGCGAGCCCCGTGGGAACGCACAAAGCACTAAGGAAATGCAGCGAAGGAGAGATTGCTTCAAGCTGTGTTCCCATGGAAAAGGGAGCCGGCCTTCTCCCAGCGCCGCGTGGGTTGGAAACAAGCGGAGGGCAGGGCCGGCTCTCCGCTGCGTTGCGCTGGGCTCTGATGTGAAGGGGGGGCTGGGGGAACCAGCCGCCGCCTCAGGCCCCTGTGTCAGAGCAGCGGGACCCCCGGGAACTGTGTGTCTGGTGCAAAGGCTCCTGGGGTCTGAGGAAGACGAACGGGAAAGCCCTTGAACTAGCCCACGGTTGGCCCCGTCCACACGAAAACCAAAACCGTGAGGCTGAGGAGCGCGGCACCTTCCGGCAGTGAGTGCGCGTCTCACGCTCCAGACCCCAGGCTCGGGGAACGCCCTCGTCCCCAGAGCGCCGGCCCCCGGCTTCTCGGCTGAGCCGGGGCAGTGGCTTCTGCCCGGCAATGCTCCTGGCTGCGGCCGAAGTGTGGCTTCGTGAGGCCTGGCTGCCGTGACGGTGGCCCTTGCGCAGGAGGGTGCCGCCGAGAGCTGTGAGCGCCCGGTTCCTGTGAAGCCAGAGACAGGGCGATGCTGTTCAGCTCTGTTTGTCTTGGCCAGGGCACGAGCATCTCACGGACCCGAAAAAGACAATCATTGGAGGCTCATTTCCTCTTCAACATGGTTTGGATTTCTCTGTAAACAGTTTTGTTTTTTCTTCTTAGGGCGTAGTAACCTATCAGGAAAGTTCAGGTTCCAATTCAGGGATCACAGGCTGTGTGCACACCGGGGGGCCATCCTCAGGCCCCACCCCGCACCCTCGGCCGCTCTCACGCTCTCACGGGGGGGGGGGGCTGCTGCTCCCACCTGAGGCCCCACTGCAGCCTCCACCCCATCTCCCCTGCCCTCTGGCGTGTCCCTGGAGCCCTCAAGTGTGCGACTGCCCCCTGCCCCCTGCTGACCCCACGGGTCTCTGCCAGCCCTGTGCTGCCATCACCCACTCCTGGCCTCATGACCTTTGTCCTCTGACCCTGCCCCTGTTTCTGTGTCCCTCGTGCCCGCTGTGGACGGATGTGCCTCTGTACCTACCTGGATTCCGTGTCCCCCTCAGCCCCTCCTCTCCCCCACCGGCTGATGCTGTCGTGGGTCCCACTTGTCTGTGAAGACCCCACCCCTGCCGAGCGCGGCCGTCCCCTGTCTTCAGCTGGACACGGCGGGCAGCAGCCTCGCCAGGCCAGCAGAGCTGTGAGCCCGGCAGACCCGGCCTTCTCTCCTCAAACCCCAGCAGCCCCGGCTGCGGGCGCGTCCTGGCCACCCCGAGCTTCCCTGCCGGGCGACTTGAGTCGGGGAAGGAGCTTCTGGTGGCGCAGCCGCACTGGGGGTGGGGGCCGCTCCGTCCCCGTGGGCCCGCATCTCGGTTCCTCTCGGGTCAGAGTCTCCGCCCCCGCCCGTGAGCCCTCCCTGCCCCCAGGAGCAGCTCCGTCCTGCGGGCGGACCGGTCAGCCCTGCCCTGGGGGCACCCGGAGTCCGTGTCCCTCTCTCTGCCGCGTGCCCCAGCGGAACCTGCAGGGGGCCTGTCCGTCCCGCCCTCCCTCCTGGGCTCTTACCCGTTGTCGCTGCGCCGGAAAGCTTTTGCAGAAGGGTCACCGTGCCAGGCCGAAGGCCACGCCTCTGTTCCCTGCACCAGCCTCTCGACGGCTCGCATGGCTGACGGTTCCCTCTTTTCTCCGCCCTCCAGCTTTTAGTTTTAAAAACTTCAACCCGACAGGACATTCGAAAGATGAGGACGGCAAGTATCTGGAGACCCTTTACCTGGATTTCACCAGTCGTTCACGTTTCACCACATTCCCTTCACCTGTATCTGTCTGTCTGTCTGCACGCCTGTGTCTTTTGAGGCAAGTGAGAGGAAGCTGCAGACGTTCTGACCCTTGACCCCCAGGTGCGGGAGGATGGGCCCGGAAAGGGCGTCGTCCTCGTGCGTGCGCCCCGGCGGCGGCGGTGGCGGGGCCCCACGCTGGAAGGAAAGGGCTTGCGGCCGCGCCCAGTTCCCACTTCCGCCCCAGAGCGTTCTCCGAGTCCCCCTGCGCCCGAGGGGGTCTGCACACCGCCGATTACGGAAGTGAAATGAAATGCGGGTTACACTCGAACAAAGCTTTGAGAAAGTGATTGTAGACGGTTGGCAGAGCCGCGGGCGATGAGTTAAACGTGCTATTTTTAAAACAGGGTTCTGGACGTTTTTGCACTGAAGTCAGCATTTCCCACTTTTAAGTTATTTCCACTGATGTGGTGAAACTGCTCATTTCCTTTCAGTCTTGATAAATAATCCAGCAAAGCAGGACAGAGAAGGGGGTTTCTCAGTGGTCTCCCCTCTGTGGCGGTCTCCCCCCAGGCGGGAGTGCTGCAGGTCGGCCGGGAGCGTGTCCTGCGCGCCCCCCCGCCCGCCCGTGTGCCACGCGCACAGCCGTGGTGGCACCGGGGGACCAACGGAGACCGGCAGGTTCCGCCCTGCCGCCGTCGGGGCCCGAGCCGGTCCTCCAGTGCCGTCAGGGCTGCACGGCCGCGGAGCTTCGTCCCCGAGTCGTTTCCCTGCGGAGGCGGCCGGAAGGACCCGCCACGACACCCCGTGGCGGGTGGGGAGGACGTAACGAGGGCAGGACACACACTGACGGGGGCACGGTCGGAGGACGGTGACACGCCCGCCTCAGCGCCGGCCTCCCCGGGCACGGTCCCAGAGAAGACCCCCCCCACCCCCGCTCGCTCGGGGGGGCGGCCCCCGCGGGCCAGTGCCGGAAGCCGTGCCCCCGCTCCTGCAAAGCCATTCCTCCGCGCAGCCCGCAGGCGGCCTGTCTGCAGAGCGTGTTCACCACGTGGTGTTTTCGCTGCGGTTCTCCCTGTGCCGTGGGGTCGCGTCCAGGCAGTCAGGTGCGTGGAGTCAGAACCCACGCTTCAGTTCTTTGACGGGAAACGGGCGCGCCGTCGGAGCCGTGGCCCCTGCCGCAGGCACTGGTGACGTTCCGCCCGCCGCCCGAGCCGACGGCTCCTCTCTCCCACACACACACACGGGCCTGTCAGTTTTGCGCCACTAGCGAGCGCGGTGGTGGGCGTGCACGTTTGCTGACGTGCTGCACGAGGCCCTCAGAGGGCCCCGGGCCTCCGCCTCGCGCCGTGGGCCGCGCCGGGAGAGAGCAGTCGCCCAGGGAGGCCGGGCCGAGTGTGGCCCCGGTTGTCCCGCGAGGCTGGGAGAGAGTGGGCCTCGCAGCCCTCTGGCGCGGCGTTACCAGCTGGTCCGGGCCCTCGGGGGCCGCTTAGCTCCACCCCAGACACCGCACGCTGACGGACTTTTCAGAGAGAGGTCAGGTCGGTCCTGGGTGGCTGTCCGCCCCACCCTGTGGCGTGGGGTCAGAGGTGAGAAGGGGGGAGAGGCGACAGTCTGGGTGAAGCATGCCGGCGGGACCCTGGGGGGACGAGACCGGCCGTGAGTGGTGCAGCCGTGGGGGCTCGGGTCGCCAGTGCGCTCAGGAAGTGACTTCCACCTGCTGACGGCGCACCCGCGCCGCGGGAGCGCTGCTGGGGGACGGTCAGTGTGGAGAGCCACGCTCGGCAAGTGGAGAGGAGGCGGGGGGAAGGCAGCACCCGCGGCCGCGGCGATGAGCTCGGAGACGTGGCAGCCGCCGGGCTGAGGTCACTGCAGGCCTGGAGTAGGGGAGGGAGGGAGGCGGTCCAGCGGCCTGTCAGAGGGAGCGTCTGCGGCGCTGGCAGCCGCACGGGGAAGCCGGCCCCGCCGGGGACTGGACGGCCGTCCCCGCCCCTCGCTCTCCAGCTGGCGCGAGCGCTCTCTCTCCCTCTCCCTCGCTCGCTCCCTCTCCCGCTCCCTCTCTCGCTCCTTGAAGCCACCTGGCGTCCTTGCTGAACTCCTCCCAGATGTCTGGCTGCCCTCCTCGGGGTGGCCTCTGCTGAACCCTCTGCCGCGGAGCAGGCCTGGACGCGCAGCTGTGACACGGAGTGGGGGGCTGCCCGGCGGACCCGGACCCTCGGTGTGTGCGCCGTGTCGAGGAGGATAATGCGCGGTTTGCTGGCAGTCGTGTGGGTGACTTTTCCATGAGCAGTTTGTCTTCCTGTGTTTGACTCGGCCACGAGCTGCTTGGTCTGCAGGCACTTCCACAGGACTCACGCCCTTTGGCTGGGCGTGCACTGCACCTCCTAGGGTCCAGTTCTCCCCTGGCCCGGAGGGGCTGCCTGCCGGGCCCCCTGCCCCTCCCGGCCCCCAGCCCCCAGCCCCGAGCCCGTCGGCTCGAAGCGAGGTCCCTTCCACGCCCGCCCCGTGGCGGGAGTCCGCGTCTGCGCGCGCAGACGGCTCAGCTTTCGGCTGGTGAAAATGGGAGGCCAGCGCCTGTCGGGGCCACAGAGCTGACTTGCGTGCGCCCCCGGGAGCCGTCCAGAACCGGTCACCTCCATCTCCGTGCCCTGCGCAGCTCAGCGCGGCCTCTGTGTTCTAGGGGTCAGGGATGGGCGGCAAGTCGGGGGCCGGGCCCCTTCTCGGGGTCTCGCGTGTCTGCTTCCAGAGACCTGCTTGGCGAGCTCAGGGTCAAGGCCCGTGTGCCTGCTGCAGGCACGGCAGCTGGCCCGGTGGCCGGCGGCCCAGGTGCCCCTCAGCCTTCCTCGGCACAGCTCGCCTTATTTGGGGCCGAGGGGCCGTCTCCGAGCTTCTGAACGGCCCTCTGCAGCCGGTTCTCTGCAGCCCGAGTGCTGGCTGCCGACGGTGTCCCCGTCCGCTTGCGGCCAGGCGCACCCAGAGGACCGGGTCATGTCATTCCGGAGTGGCAGCCGCTGCGCTCTGTCCCAGCTGCGATGGTTCTCCCGGCCCGAGCTCGTCGCTGGCGCGGCGGCCGGCGCAGGGACGGTGTCCATGAGTCCGCAGTGAGGCAGACACGGCGCGGCTGGTGCGGAGTTTCCCTGCTGAACCCGGAGCTCCCCGCCCTTGACTGAGCCGTGAAGAGCAAACGGGGGCCTCTGAGCCCGGCTCTCTCCGCGGCGGCGGCCCCTGCCTGACCCAAGTGCTTTCCTGCCGGGCAGGCACTCCGGGCAGGCCCGGCAGCCGCTGGTTTCGGGCTTTGCCTGCTCTCTCCACGCGTCTGACCCGAAAGAGTCTCACTCCACATTTCCTCGTCCACAGACGCAGCCGTTTCCCTAGACTGGCCCATCCCGGGCCCACGGATCCAGACCCTGGCTGGCCCCCAGGACGGGGGGGGCCTGTCGGGGGGCCGTGCGGCTGGCCTCTGGGCCCGACGTCCACGTGCGGGTCGGCCCCTGCCCCCACGGTCGCAGGAGCCATGTGGGTCCAGGCCCCCCGAGCTGGGAGGGTGGTGTGGGGGTGGAGCCGAGGTCGGGCTGCTGGGGCACCTGCCCGCGCAGCGCTCGCACCCTGCACGCCGGCCCGAGTCTCGCTGGGACCGCGCCGGCGGCAGAATTGGCAGCAGAATTGCGCATCGTGCTGACGCCCCCCGTGCTCTCCCTGCAGAGAACGTGATTGACGGGCAGGACCACGAGGTCATGATGCAGATCGACTGCCAGGTGATGGACACCAGGATCCTGCACATCAAGAGCGCCTCGGTCCCGCCCTCCCTGCGGGAGCAGCGGCAGAACCAGACCAGCACCCTGTTCGGGGCCCCGCCCGCGGCCGCGGAGGCAGCCCGCGTGGTGGGCGCCATCCCCGAGTCGCTGCAGTAGCCCCGGGCCGCCGAGCGGGACCCGCAGACTGGGGACGGGGCTCGCGTGCCTCCTCCGCCGTCCTGGTGGCGTCTGACCCGGGACCCGCCCCCAGGGTCAAGTTCAGGGACTGAGAAGAGGAGCTGCTCCATCTCCACGTCTGCCCCCGCCCCTGGCCCTGGCCCCGGCCCCCCGCAGGGCCCCGGATGCGGACACGGGACGTGTGGCCCCCTGCCCTCCGGCGAGGCCTCCAGCGGACTCCTGGGTCTTTCTGAGTCGCTGCCCCCGTGTGTGCTTCCTGTTCAGTCACCACCCCCTGGGAGTCGGCCCGCTCCCCGCCCTGCCCCTCACTCGCCAGCACTGGCCGCCTGTCGCCGGCCGCAGCAGCACACGTGTTGTGGGTATCCGCGCAGACCCACTGCGCGCACCGCCACGTGCCCCGGAGACGGGGTTTCAGGACTGGACGGCCCAGCGCACCCCCAGAGCCAGCACAGCGCGGCGGTGCGTTAGGAGAGGGAAATCTCAGTGGGGGGTGCTGCCCCGCACCCAGGTGGCGGTTGGGGGCTGGCGGGCAGCGAGTTTGAGAGAACGGGCAGGACGGGACAGGCCAGGGGCAGGTCCGCGTGAGCAGACACTGAATGTTCGCTGGGGTGGCCGTCCTCGGTCAGAGCCGCGGCTGCCATTTCTTTTGAGGGCTGGCGGCCGCTGGGCCGAGTCTTCTCTGCTCGCCGTGCGGCCCCGCGGGGCCTCAGCACACACAGACCCCCTTCCCGTGGAGAGCCCCCACCCGCCACCCCCTCTGCTCTTCAGTGGTGCCACGTTCAGCCACGGGGCTCGGGGGCACCAGGCTGAGCAAAGGAGAGCGTGGAGTCTTGGGGATGACCGGTGTTCTCGGCCCCGAGACTGACTGCGGCCAGGCAAGCGGGGTCCCTGCTGGGTGTGCGGGGCAGCCCCTGCGCTTCGAGAAAAGAAACAAAGACTGAAACGTTGCCCTCGCTCGTTTGTGCTGTGCGTGGACGCTGCCCTCCTGCCCTGGGCACCTCCCTCCCCGGGCAGGGCCTCCTGCCCGCCCCTCCTCCATCAGACCCTCCGTCCACTGTTGCCCGCCGACACCACCCTCCCCGAGGGACCACGCCCCTCCAACCTGGCGTCCTGGTGGTGGTCCAACAGGCAGTTCTTGCTGGGGACACACTGACCTCTGGGGCCGGGGGCCCTGCTGCGGGCCAGGGCTGGGCGTCGGCGGGACACGATTCTCTGTCGGGGCTGCCGGGCAGAGACCGCGTGGGGGTGCGCAGACGTCTCCTCCTCCTCCGTGCGCCCTGACGGGACCCATCTGTCCCCAGCGTGCCCTGTGCTCACGGGCCTGCTCGTCGGGGACCCTGGGACGACACGGGGGCTGGTCCGTCCCCGTTGTGGGGACGTCAGAGCAGGCGGGGCGGGGCAAACCCATCCTTGCGTCCGCCTTCCTAGGGGTGGCGCTCCCAGCAGCCCCACTCGCAGGCCCCCTTGGGAACCACCACGCGGAGCCGGGCCCTGCGTCCTCCCCGCTGCCCCGTGCACATGGACCTCACGCTCGCCAGGGCCGCCGCGGGTGGGTGCTCGTCGGCACCCGTGGGCCCCTTGGCCCTCACCAGGAGGGATCGTTTTATTCACAGAGGTCGGGGATCTTTGCTGCTAGTGTGAATGCTAATTTTAACTTTAAAAACAAGCGTAATGTTTAGAAGAAAGTAGAATGTAAGGAAGTTTCATTCCTATCCCTAATTTTAGGATGGGGCATTCCTGTCCATCCCCCCCCCCCCCCAAGAGCTGTGGTTGATTTTTACTTTTCTAGGAAACAGAACCCCGGGCGTCCCCACGGGGTGCTGCCGGGGGCCCAGTGGGAGCAGGCAGGCCCCCCCCCACCCCGGGAAGGGCTTCCGAGTGACCTGCCCACTGGGGTGTGGGGCAGCAGCGCCTGAAGCGAGGGTCCCCGTGGAGGACAGGGTCCCCGTGGAGGACGGGCTCCCGCAGCTGTGACCTCTGTGTCCCCGGCGGGCAGAGAGCCGGGGTTTAGGAGGAGGAGGAGGAGCAGGAAGGTTCTTGGGGTGGGGGGTTCAGTCCTGGCGTGGGCGTGTCCCGGCCCTTGTTGGGGAGTGGGCCCTGCACCCAGCACCGGTTTGCTGGTCTGGGCGTCGGGCACTGGGCACGTTGGGAGACTGGCCACCGGACTCGGCGGGAGCCAGGGAGTGAGTGCGTCTCGGTTTGCGATCTGCCGAGGTCAGCAAGCGCCTTGCGGGCTTGCTGCCTGTCCTGCAGCGAAGGTGGGGCCGTCGGGTGCATAAACCAGGAGGTGCGGCGTGTCCCCCAGGGCGGCATCCCCAGGCAGGTTGGCCGGCTGACCTGGGCAGATGCACACTGGACGTCGAGCCCTGGCTTCCCGGCCTGTCACCTGGGCAGGCGTGGGGCTGCAGGTGTGCCCTGCCGTGTTCCGGGGCCTGCAGGCGCCTGCGGCGTGTTCTGACCACCCCGGTGGCTGGGCGGCGGGGCGGGCCCCGCGTGGCCAGCATCCTCGCTGGGCGCTGAGGCTGGGTCCACGCCGACCACCAGTGTGGGCGGGGCAGGTGCGCCGCCCACCCCTGAGCACGCGTGTCTGCACGCGTGTGTCTGACACGTGTGGGTCTGCAGCGGGAGGCCGAGTCAGGGACGGCGCACGGCTGCGGGCTCTCAGGCCGCCTTCGCAACGCAGTGCTTGTTCTCTCTGAAATGTGAATAAAGAGTTCTCAAGCTGCCTGCTGGCTCTGTCTGTGCGGGGAGGAAACCAGGACTCGAAACGTGTCTTCGAGTTACGTGATTCCTGACGGGACGGGAACACCGCTGTCGCCCTTCAGACAGAGGTGTGGGGCCCCCACCCGCCGGTGGGGTGCAGCCCCCGCCCTGTGTCCTGACACGTGAACGGCCGTCCTGCCAGGGAGCAGCCCATCTCCCACTGTCCCCTCTGTGGGGCCTGCGGCCTCTCCCTGGTGACCGCTGGCACCGCGGGGAGCAGCTAACTCGAGGCCCATGGGTCCGCAGACGCGGCCTCGTGTCCACAGACCACGGCTGCCGCCACCTCCCTGCAGCCAGAGCTGGGAGCCGGGTGCAGGGCGGGCAAGGGGCAGTCCCCGCTCCCCCCGGCCCCGGGCACACGCAGCGACGGTGACGCCGGCCTCTCGGGGAGGCCGGACGGCGTGTTTCTGAGGACCCGGTCCCGGCCTTTCCGGAGGTCTGCGGAGCAGGTTCGCAGGCAGTGTGTGTGTGTGTGGGGGGGGGTCTGTCAGCCGGGGGCACGTCCTCCTGGGCGTCCCAGAGGGTCAGTGTGGGCCTGCGTCTGCCGAGTCCGGGTGGAAGGGCATGCGGGGGCCCAGGAGGGAGCAGCCGGGTTTGGCTTTGCTCCCAGAGCAGCAGCACCGCCCCCCTCCACGTCCGAACTCCCGCGCCTGCAGGGGCTGGTTTGGCGCCCGTCGTCCTGCCGGGCGGGCCTGTCGGCGTCCCACCCCATCGTGTGCCCCCAGCAGGGAGCGGACACTGCGCCTGGGGCGTGGCTCTCCAGGCACCGGGGGCCGAGCTGGTGGTGTTTTCTGTTGACTTGGACTGTTGACCGTTTGGAAAGACAGGGATGGACGTCGTCTCCGGGCGTCTGTCCTGGTGGCCTCGTCCCCGCACGCACATCCACGGGCGGGCCGCTCAGCGCCGAGGCAGGACCCCGGGGACCGGGGGCGGCTCCCGGCTGCTTCCTGCGATGTGGGTCTGGCCACCTGCAGGTGCGGCTGGGGGGCCCCGGGCTGGCGGGGCTGCAGGCGCACGGCTCCCGGAACTCAGCAGCGCCGAGAGCTCTGTGGCCCGACTGAGAGCCCCCCCGGGTCAGTTCGAGGCCGATGCAGCAGCGGGACCCGACCCAGGTGTGAAGCGCCCAGGTGTGAAGCGGCCGGTCGGAGAGGGGGCCGGGGCTTCAAGGGCCATGCAGGGCCCGCGCCTCCCCTCTGAGGGCCTGCGGGTCCGCCGGGAGAGCCCTGATGTGCGGGTGGCGGCACGCCCCTCCGAGGGCCCCCGGTCCGAGGGGAGCACCCACGGCTGGGCCGTGTCCAGGACGGAGGCAGGGAGCCAGCCAGCCCACTGTCCACCAGGCAGCGCCCTCTCCCCTGCGCGGGGGGGCCTCCTGGGCCCGGCGAGGGGGCGGCCACCTGGGGAGCCCTGTGCCCTCTGCCAGGGCGCCCAGAGAAGGAAGGCTCCAGCCAGCTGAGGACAGGACTCTGCCCTGGCCTCCCGTCGCAGCCCTGGGGACAGGGCGGTTGGCCGCGGGCTGGAACCGGCCTCACTGCGGCCTGTGTCTGTGGCTCCCAGACGAGGCTGCAGGCAGGACCCACCTGTGGGGGGTTGGGGGGGCGGGGGGGCGGGGGGGGCGGGTCTGTAGAAGTGCTGCCACCTGCCCGCCCGAGCTCTCCAGCTCTCCGGGGTGACCTGACCTCGGGACTGTCAGCCCCGCCCCAGTGACTCCAACGGCACCGACGTCGAAAGTCAGAACGGGAAGCTGTTTTTGAGCCCGAGACCCAGCTCGTGTCCCAGCATCTCCGGGGGTGAGGGCGCAGTGGGTTCTGGGGACAAGAAAGCTGTGTTTGAGTCATCGGAGCCGGAGCGGGGGAGGGGCGGGGGCCGTGCGGGCTGGATGCGCTGCGCTGGCGGAGGTGAAGTCAGACATTCCTGGGCCGTGTCAGAGCCGGGGAAACGCTTGAAAACAGCCGGAGCTGTGAAAGCGGAGCTTACTGCGCGATGGCATTTTCTTGGAAGGAGGGGGGGGAGGGGGGGAGGGGCGGCCAGGCCCAGGAACAGCCGGGGATTTGCTCCCAGGCTCCTGTCCCTGCAGACGAGGGGAGAGCCTGAAGGTGGAAGAGCCGTGCGGGCGGGGGAGGGGCCGGGGGTGGGGGTGGGGTTGCTGCCGGAGCAGCTGCGGCCTGGAAGCAGCAGGACCCCTCCTTCCTGCCACTGGGATCCTGGGGCCTGCCCTGGCAGTCCCCCCCCCGGGGCAGTGCCCGCACACACCTTGTGTCCATCCCCCCGGAGAGGACTCGCAGCTGAGAGCGGCCCCCGCAGCCCTGCCCCTGCCTAGCTGTGCGGTGCCGTGTGCCTGGGACTCCCGGCCTGCAGGGTGGGCCCGGGTGGGAGGCACACTGTGGCCCCAAGCTCAGGTCGTCCTCGATGGGGGGCCCTCGTCACCGGGAGACGGCGCAGGGCGTGGGGGGTTCGGGCGTGGAGCCCCCCCACAAACTCTGCAGCCAGCACTCCCTGTAGGAGCTGTTCTCCTGAGAGGGCCGAGGCTCCGCCCAGGGTCCGGGCAGCACTGGACACTCAGACGCTGGCGCCCAGGGCGCTCAGCCCCGCCCCACCCTGCCCCCACGTGCCTGGCCAGGGCCCGCGGGTGCTCCCTCGAGTTTCCAGCCCGAGGTTCCTGTGGGAATGTGCTCTGGGCCGGGCCTGGCCTCGCACTGGAACAAGTCAGCGGGCGGGAGCTTATGCCAGCTGCCAGCCCAGAGAGTTCCCAGGGAAGAGGAGACGTAGGGGCAGTCGGGGTCGGGGGTCAGGGGCCTGTGTCCTGCAGAGCAGCTCTGGGTGGGACCGCAGGTCCTGTCCGCTCGGGCAGTGGACACGGAGGGCGCAGCCTCTGATAGGCTGAGGGGAGACGGAGGGCGGAGAGGGGGGCCTGGTGTCCGCGAGGGGCGAGTCTGTCGCAGGCAGAGAGCGGCTGGGGGCCTCTGGAGCCCGGCGGGCTCCCGCAGGTGCTGGAAGGGTCCCGAGCCCTGCATGTGACCAGTCCTGTGTCTGGGCTCCAGTCCCAAGGTCGGCACATCCGCCCGCCTGTCTGAGCCCGGCCCCGGCCACACTGCGACGGGGACACTGATGTCCCCCAGCCCCAGCCTGGCCTCCAAGCCCGAGCTCTGTGCCTCCAGGAAGCTCACCAGCTTCCCGCCACCGCAGCCCTGCGGCTGCTGGCCGCGCTAGAGCTCCCAGGCCCGGCCAGACTCTCCTGGTGCCCCAGGCCAGGCCTGCCTGCCAGCCAGAGCTCAGCTGAGGTCACCGGAAAACCACCCCCAGGCCCTGCCCCAGGCGCCGGGCCAGCCTCCCCCCTTCCCCCAGCCTCTGTCACACACACACACACACACACACACACACACACACACACACAGCCATGCTGCCCTTCACCCCAGGGCAGGTCGCTGCTCGGGGAAGCCTGACACCACTCTGGGGAAGGTCCTCCGCAGACAGCTCCAGGGACACCGTGCCAGAGTCCTCCCCACAGGAAACGGGGTGCAGGGGGCTCAGCCTCCCGCTGCAGCAGTGCACTGCTGAGGCATCCCAGGCCGTCGGCTCCGGCATGCTTGCCCTGGGCCAGGAAAACACAAAAACCAGGCCCCGGGGCGCACGGCACGACAGGTCGGGGAGAAGGAGGGGGAGAGGCCAGGACACACCTGTGCGCACGTGCACACACACCCACATGCACACACACGACCGCCCGCTGGGGGCAGGGACGGACCCCTGCTCTCCAGGGCCGGCGTGGAGAGAGAGAGCCAGTTCATCGCAGAGTCACGTCCAAGCCGAACTTGGGACAACTGCTTCTTGTCTCTAGTCCCTCTGCCGAGGGCCTGCGGGACGCATGGGGGAGGGGCTGTGGGGGGAGCGGCGATGCACTGCGCTTGCCTTCCCGGGGTCTCAGGAGCCAGCTAGCCCCGCCCCCACCCGCCCGTGTGCTGGGGGCCTGCGGCCTCACACCCTGGGACGGGGGTGGGGAGGAGAGCCTGGCTGGGCGAGAGTGTCCAGCCAGGGTGAGGTGGGGGCCGTGGGGACAGACTGAAGACTGAGACTCGGGGACCAGGTCACGGCGCCCCGCTCTGCCTCCCGGCGGCGCAGCGCCCCAGGCCACACGAGGGGAGGCAGGGAGGAGCGGGGTCCGCGCCCTGGGTACCTCCGCCCGGTGAGGGGCCCGGCCCTGGACAGACATCAGCACAAGACAGAAATGCGTCGGGGGCTCGTTTAAAATTCCTTCTTTATTAAAAAAGCATTTTCTGGGTTTTTAAAACTTCTCCGGGACATCATTTCCCCCTCTCCTTAGTGCCTCTTCCTGCCGCCCTCACTCGTGTTCTGGAGCCGCGGCTGCACGGCCCGTGGAGGGGCCTGGGAGCGGGCGGGCGGAGGCTGGAGGGCGGGCGGTCACCGGCCAGAGGAGAAGCTCGTTTGCACAAAAACAGAAACCGTGGAGGATGAGACCAGCACACACACGTTTGGGTCGATCCACAACCCGTATAAAAAAATAGACCCAAGTCGTCACTTTACATTGTACAAAATAATACATATTTTTTGAAAAGCACTTATCCATCCGCACACACTCGCTCATACCCATGCACGCCCACACGCACGCGCGCACGCCGCGCACGCGCACGCACACACCACGTGCGCGCGCGCGCAAGGTGCGGTGACCCCGCCCGTCCGCGCGGGCCGGGGTCAGTAGGCGAAGATGACGCGGTAGGTGACCTGGTGGCCGTTGTCCCAGGCGTAGAGCAGCCGGTCCTTGGGGTTGTAGTCCACCTGCGTGGTGTAGGAGTACTCGTTCTCGAAGAGCAGCCGCGGCACGATCTGCGTGTTGGTGTGCGTGTCGAAGGCGTAGGAGATGTTGGCGTTGCGCTGGTCGTGGCTGTCCACGGCGTAGAGCACGCCGCAGATGACGAAGCAGTTGCCGTACAGGTGCCGGCGCAGCCCCGT